GGGCCCCCCCCCCCCCAAAAAAAAAAAAAAAACTCACACAAAAAGAGGAGGTCAAAAAAGTGGTCCACCGTAATGGATATCAATCACATTCAACGAAATTATACAAAAATCATAATTTTGAACTCAATAATGCTATGTTGACCAAATTTTGGGACCAAAGCAACAGCTAGATATTAGCACTAAAGCCACATGTGGGGTGATGATAACTTACAGTCGTATGGCCAAAAGCAGCCAGATTGCTTGGTGAAACCAGCGAAGGCGTGTTGAACATGTTTGGTTGACTACAGAGAGTGGCAGTAGTTGGTTCAATCAAAGCATTTGTTTGCCCGAGTGAAGACGAATCATACGGATATAGTGGACTTGATCCAGTGGATGGACAAAAAGGAGATGGAGAAGTGTTGGGTGCAGAAGCAAGGGCTGATGATGTTACATGGGTAGAAAGTTTGGATAATGAAGCTGCCCGTAAAGGGTTTACAGAGGACAATGTGTTGAAGGGAGATGGATTGAATGCAGGTGTAGTAGACACTCCAGAGATCGGAAAGCTAAAGGTTGGTGGTTGTGGGGTAAAGGGATTCGAAGTAGTTGATGGAGAGAAGACATTTCCAGTACTGGATACAGGAGAAGGAGAAACAGTAAAGCCTGGGGAACTAAATACTGGTTTTGGGGGGGCAAATGGATTTGAAGGGATTGATTGAGAGAAGACATTTCCAGTAGTGAGTAAAGGAGAAGTAGAAACAGTAAAGCCTGGGGAACTAAATACTAGTTTTGGGGGGGTAAATGGATTTGAAGGGATTGATGGAGAGAAGATATTTCCAGATGTACTGAACGCAGGCGAAGTAGACACGGTAGAGCCTGGGGAACTGAAAACTGGTTTTGAGGGGGCAAATGGGTTCGAAGGAATGGATGGAGAGAAAATATTTCCAGATGTACTCAATACAGGATTATTAGACAACATAGATCCTGGAGACAGAAAGACTGGTTTTGGGGGGGCAAATGGATTCGAAGGAATTGAGGGACAGAAGGGATTCACAGATGAGTGACAAGAGGTAGGTGAAGGACTGAAGGGTTTCGGCTGTGTAATGGATGTTAGAACACTACTCCCACCAGTAGATTTCCCCACAGGTTTGTGGCCACCTGAATTAATCAACAAATAATAAAAGTTGGCCATTGCATGCCATTTATATAAAAAGCCAAGAGAGACAAATGCAGGCAAAAACAAAAACGCAACCACAAATAAAACATACCTTTATCGCTCAACTGATAATCCTTCCACCTCAATTCTTCATGGTTTTTATCTTTGTAAATGGGCATGGCAGAAATCGATACAACTTTTCCAGCTGGTTGCATACTGCCATCTACAACTGCAGCTGTTTTCGTGTAAGATGCTACTCTAGTTCCTGAATTTGATGGGCCAAAGGCTGGAAAGAAACCCAAGTCAGACCAAATACCAGATCCCTGAGTTGAGGTTGTAGCAGGACTGGGTCCAAATCTTGGGGTGCTTGCTGTATGAAGGGCAACGTTGGTACCAAATCCCCAAGTTAAGGTTGGAGCAGGACTTGTGCTAAATCCAGGGGTGCTTAATGTACCAAATGCAGGAGTGCCTGATGCACCAAAGACAGGGGTACTTGATGTTCCAAACATGGAGGTGCAAGAAGAACCAAATGCAGGGGTGCTTGAAGCACCAAATGCACCCCCAAATCCAGAAGCTGATGCATTGGAGGTCCCAAAAGCTATGCCTGTGCTACCAAATGTCGGTATCAACAAAGAACCAAATGCTGGGCTGCTTATCTCGCCAGACGCAGAGTGACTTGACGGACAAAATGCAGTAGACGAAACAAAAAAATTGCTCCCAAATGCAGGTTGTGTTTGTTGAAATGCATTCTTGAATGAGTTAGACTGATTAGAACTTGACCCAATTCCTCCAAAAGCAAGGTTCTGCCTAGATATAGAAGATCCTGTAACAATAGAACACGCAAAGTTTTCGGTCAGGACTCGGGATACAATTAGAAAAAGGAAACCATATAACGATGTGCTCTCGCAGATAAAAACAGTACTGCAGTTCTATAGCAAGATAAAACCTAACACTGATATTCTAATAATATGCCATGAGATGAACATCCAAGTAATTCCACCCAACTTATCTATCATAGAAAACTTTTTAATATAAGTGAAGTCGAAGTAGTACATGTGCATATGTGCTTAAATGGAACTTCAGAGAAGTAAAGCTTCTCCTTCTTTTTTTCTGTTTTTGGGTGTAATTAAAGCTGGTGAATTACAGCACGTAGGTGATCCAGATACTTGTGCAGAGTAACCAATGGATTGATGTTGTCATCAATTCCTCCCACAATATGGAACCAAAAAAGAGGTGATTGAATGGGAAAACAACCAGATACAACAAACGAAAATGATGCATAGTATTGATTAACATATGCTAATTTACGTACCACTAAAGGACGATGGAGAGCTCCCAAAAGCAGGAGTACAAGAAGCACCAGATGTTGTTGTGGATGCTATAGGTGAAGAAGTTACTCCAAACATACGGGTCGAATTCCCACCAAAGATTGATTCACCTGTTGGTGAACCAAAAGGAGCGTAAGCACCTGGAGTATTCAGTTGCCCAAATACTGAAGTGGAACCCAAAGAGCTGCTGCTCGATGGCTGTCCAAAAGCTGCCATTAGGAAACAAAAGAAGAATCAGAATCAGAATGTTCTTCATGGCACTGAACCTATGGAGAAATTTTACTTAAAAAAATTCAATACAGCATAAAGAAGTAGTCTAACAGGGGAAAAAACCGATGATTGCATATCTAAAAGTACAACTCTCACCAATGCAACATCTCAAAAGTTTAGTTATGTCCAACTTGAAAATGAACAGCATAACAACACCTAGTCCAGACACGTGTAAGTTAGCCCTACCATGAAAAAAATATATATACAAGTTGAATTTAGGACAAAATACGGAAAAAATAAACTGTGCCAGCAATTTTAAACCTACAGCTACTCAAAAGTCAAATACAGAAAAAAAAAATAATTTGATGCTTCAGGTTTCAGATAATAGTGGCACAAGCATTACATACAAAGTAGCATGCAAAAGATATCTATTCAATGAAACACAATAGTTTTACGACTTTGCAAACTGCAAAGTGTGTGTGTGTCTGTGTGTGTGTGTGTGTGAGTGAGAGAGAGAGAGAGAGAGAAAGAGCAAAGGAACTTCAAGACATGAACAAGCAACGAACTTTGAATTAACAATGTATGAACTTACGAGTAGTGGTGCCGAACATGTCGCAAAGAAAGTTTCCAAGAGCCGAATCTAGGAGAGGATCGAAAAAAGTGTCCAGTATATACTGGTGCTGGGTATCTGTGTACCGGTTTCTATGTGCTATGTAGGGTCAGTGGTCCTTATATATTAGAAACCGCCATTGTTTGACCAAACGAGTAGCTTATAGTTAAAGCTGTGTTAGCTTGCGTCTGGCCGAACGAGTAGCTTACAGTTAAAGCAGAGGTAGCTTGGCTTGTGTTGTGTTGTGTATAGACCGAGTAGCTTACTGTTTAAGCTAATCAGCGATAGTGTTAGATAAAATTCAGGGTTAATTACAATCAGCCCACTCCAAGTATACCCCTTGTTGCAATCAGTTTCATGTGCTTTCAAATGTTGCAATTTTTTCCCATCAAATTTCTAGTGGATTAAATTAACTAACAAAGAATCGCTGAATACTTGAAGGAATCATTGCGCTTTCTGTCTTGTTTATTATTTTCTCATTTTTTTTAAGATATTAATTTTATCCCTAAAAAAATAAAAAAACGGAAAAGACAAGACTAAAAATAAGGAAACATTTGCTCTGCATCATCATAGCATAGGGAAAGGAGGGTTTCAAGGGGGAAGGGAGAGGATGGAAGGGTGTAAAGGCAATGACGAATAACAGAAAAAATAGGTATAAGTGTAATTATTATTTTTTTACACAAAATAGGGATCACTTGAATTTGACATATCTAACTTTTGTCAGTTTTTATTATTTAAAAATAACTATTAAAGTTAATTATAAAATATTTAAACTTAAAATGAGCTATTTGTTGAAATTAAAACAAGAAGTAATGAGTTACAAACAACCCAAAGTTGAAGGGGTATTTTGTAATTAATCCTAAAATTTAATTTTAATTTAATAGCTATCTCTAAATTAAGTATTTTTTTTCAGCTTAATTATTTTTAGGAAATTATTACTTGTATCTAATTTAGTTGCTTAATTTTAGAATTTAATCTATTATTTATATTTGTATCTATTTATATTTATATTATTAATAAAAGTACTTTAATATGAAAAGATTTTGATTCATTATTTTATTCTTATAAATAATTGTAAAGACCATTCCATCTTGCATAGTTAAATATCTAAATTACAATCATATCATTATGTGTTTAAATCTCTAAATTATCCTCTAACATTTGTTTTAATTATTTGTTCTCTATGTATAAATATAAGTATCTAAAAAAAATTTAAATTGACTATATTACCCTTAAAAAATATATACATCATTATAGTGAGTAATATATTTTATCCCCATTAACCTAACTAATTCTTAATTATAATAAGATTTTAATATGATTACGATATTGATAATTATTTTTATTTAAATCAATGAATTATAAGTAAAATTCTAATCAAATAAATTTCAAAAAATTTAATTTTTCGAATATCACTAAAAAATACTCTCAATTCCAAAATTCTAAAAAATATAACTTTAATTATTAGTATTTTTTTTATCATTTTTCTTATATTTAGACCGATGAATCGTTGGGATAGACAAAGTCTTCATAATTCTATAATATAATTTGAGTGATGAAAAAAATAAGATTGGTAAACTGAATATGATATTTAATTCAAGCACTCATGTACGTAATATTTTTTATTAATTATTTATATATGAAAATTATTCATTGTAGCAAATCTACAGTATTATAAAATTAATAGTGGGTCTTAATATTAAATGCAGTCAACAGCCTAAAAATAGAATTTTGTCGGTGATTTCATTGTAGCAAATATTTAGCAGATATTTCTCGAGGTCTTTGGCGAGATCTATGACTCAATTGGATTCATGATCACCAATTATTGTAAAAATGTAAAAAAGACGAAATTATCAAACCCATTATTAAATAAAAATCATAATGGTAGGCCTTAGACAAATAGTAAAGGAAAAAATACAAATCTTCACCAATTTTCTTTCTTTCACCGTATAAAGACAAAATCAAAACTCAAAGCAGATTAACAAAAATACTGATGATGCACGAAAGTGGATTGATGTACCACCTGTCAAGTATTAAATATAATAATAAATAATGAGAGTCAACACAAGCAAAACATAATTTAAGTGATTCAATTATGGTAACCTATTCTATTGTAACAGATTAAGATGACCTGAATATTTTATTGTTTCAAGGAGTTTAGGGTGTTAAGTATGAGTGATATGTGTGAGATGTCCCTTATGTGTATGCGAAACTTATAATTTATAGATGCATCTTCATAGATTAAGATATTTTTTTCGTATCAGGTGAGATAATTTGATGGAGGTGGCACCCTTCTCGTAACAGGTGAGATAATTTCGTAGAAGTGATAATGTATGCGTCCCAAGGAAATATCTTAGTCTATTGGTTATGGACCGAGTCTCTCGTTGTAAGACGGTTGACTTGACACACTCTCCCTCAAGATAAAATAATTGACCTAGCTTTCGCCTTCGAGTGGCAGCCTTGACACGTATGTTTAAGGTGGGGCCTAGTTTGTAATTTTGGACTGAGCCCCTGACTCGGGGCAGGTCTGGGCCTGGCCCGTCAAATTCTAAAACCCAAAATAAATCTAATATGCCATGCATAAACCCCAAGTCACGTGGTTGATTTATTGGCTTTTACCAATAACTCATGGCAACTGAAAAAAGTGATTTAGGTTCAATACTACCTTATGACCAAGAAAAAAAAATAGAAAATACTGGAAATCAAAAGGAAATAGCAAAAAACAGAGAAAAAATAAAATATTTTATATGATCCTTAAACAAAAAACCCTTGTTTAAGGAGAAAGATAAAGAAAGTGCAGGGTAAAAAATGATTGAACCAAATAAATTAAACTATAACAAATATGATAAAAGGAGGTCACCCATCAACCAACTCAAATAGGGGCAAATCAGCAGTGCAACAATGATACATTATGAAATTCATCGATCAATTTGATCCGTATGATCAATTTTTTGAGTCGATCTGTAAAATTCAAACTTAACTCTACTTTATATATATATAGAATATGTAGGCTGACTGAGTTAACAAAAAAATTTATAGTTAAGGGTATAAAATGAAACCGAGATAATATTTCGGGGGGTAAAGTATAATTTACTTTTTTGCTTTTTGTTTGCTAGTACGTGTTGTTATGAATATTCACTCTAGACCCGGTACTAAAATTCCCTCGCCTGAAACTCCGAAAAAGGTCTCTGTTCCCCTTCAGCGTTGTCTACAGTGGGGACTGCTTGAGGAAACTCGATGGATAGCTCATGGCGACGAAGAGAACTCACGGTTCTCATTCTCTATGCCGCTTTCTTCTACGCTATTGTCATTCGTCGCTCCCTCCAACTTTCCCATGGTTCTCTCTCTCTCAATCTCAGACGACATTTATTTGTGTTTGAATTCTCTTGCTCTATATAATCTTAATTGCCTTTTTATTTAAAATCTGCCATTACAGATAATTATACGAAACTTTATGGCTTACGTCCAGGATGGATCGCTGGTCGATTTAATGTATGTCCCTTTTTCGATTATTTCTGAATAATTTCACCGTTGTGTATCTTAATTATTTGTAGTATAGCTTTTGGCCATTGATTTAATTATTTAATTACTTATATGTGCTTGTGTTTCAGACCTTTCTAATATTAGTCGTCGATAATCGGAGTCTTATGAAGGGCTGCACCCCATAAAAAAAGAGCTTTAGGAAAATCCCCAATTGATAGGACATGAATGTTAAGCCATTTGGTATTCCCACATAGGCTCAAATCATATATCAACCTTATGCAACAATTGTATAATGGGATGGTGTGCATCGAAGGGGGTCATAACAAGTGCGCTCAGTGGACTAACTATATTTTCACTTACCCTTTTCTTTTTTTTTTTCGGAAAGCACACTTAAGCTTTTTGAATGGTCATGGTAGCTTATAAGAACTGCAACTCTTGTACAAGGGTTAGTAGTGGCCACTTTTCACGTTAATAGATTTGACTATTTACTGAAACCTATATCGTAGAGGTGCACTGTTGGCAGCAACATGTGAACAGTGTTACTACTGTTGGTGGGCGTTCTGAATACATGGTGGTTTTTGTAGTTAGACAAGTTAGAGTCAGAAATGTAAGAAGTATCCTATACATGTTTAACAGCAAAACTCAAGAGAGGGAAGGAATTAGATGTTATAGAAATCTAGTAGTATTTCTTTGTTTTTTTTTTTTTTTTTTTTTGTTTTTGGCATATAGGGAGTCAGAAAGGATAATGTGTGTTGTTGCTTCTTCTACTACGCTGCTCTGATCCTTGTGAATTAGAATCACGCTGCTCATGCTTATAAAAAAAGAATCACTCTGCAATTAAAGTGTTGCGTGAGAATGCGGTCCTACCTGCTGTTTGAGCTTTTCATTGAGACTACTCCTACTGCAATCTCTGGCATCCTTTAAAGATAAAGGTGATGCATTCCGTATCATTTTGGCAAATTATCACAATGAAAACAAACCGTCCAATATTTCCAATTCCCTAAGGCGAAAGATTGTAAAATGGTTCTTTCCTCTGTGTTTTTATTGGACTTTCTAGATGTGTTATTTTTGATTAGCTTGTGAATTGGGTAACAGAAAATCCATTGCATCTTTTTAGAGAATGTCTGCCAAGGTGTTATCTTTTCTTTCTATTATGATTTCTATTATTCAAGATATGAATGGTGTGATCGAAAGCTCATATATGATCAATAATAGAGCGTTGAGCTCAGATAAAGTGATGTTGAGCTGAAGTGGTCTTTCAAAGATCTCATAATATTGGCTTTTTCATGGTTGGTCCATGATGTCTTCCTTTTCTCTCTATGTTCTTTGATATTCTCTCTGTTCTTTGATATTCTCTCTCTCTTTGACTGAACTATACAATTTTTGGTCCATGATGGTTGGGCTTTAGGAGAGATATCTATTGAACATAAAAGTTTTGTTGTGGTCGTTTGGAGAATTGCTTCGTATTATAGAATGGAATCGTTTTGGATCCTTTGCTTGTAGTTTCAACAAAGGAGGACTGACATGGTTGAAGGAATCAATGAGTTATGCTATGGAATAGAAGGGAGGTGTTTTTGAGAAAACAAAGAGATAATGAGTTTTGTTTATGGGTTGAAGTCGAATCTAGGGGATTTTGAGTTCTTGTTAGAATTAGTAAGTTGTTGAATAATGGTAGTAGAATGGGATTGATCATTCCTAATGTTGAAGGAAGGGGATGAAATTTTTTTTTAGAGTTTATTAGAGAGAGTAATGCGGGATTTCAACAAACAGGGGCGAAGGAGACTAACAAGGGAGGGTGAATGCACATTCTGATAATAAGTTAATCAATTAGAAGGAATCTAGTAACATCAAAGGAGATGAAGTTATATTTAGAGAGTTTAAGAGATGGAGGTCTGCTATGACTTGCATTTATAAAGCTTGTTTCATCCCCGAGGATGATTTAGAGTGAATTGTTCACAATGATGAAATTTAACATGATCTTAAAGGCCTTCCAAGTGGACAAGGCTATCGTATTTTGCATTGATGATAAGAAGGCAGCGAATATTTACCGAGTGGATAGACGGTTCTTGACGGATTCTGTCTCTGTTAATTTGTAGAGATGAAGATAAAAATTTAAATCAACTAGGAGCAAGGTGTCGTTTATGGGTGGATGGATTGCAATTAAAGGATTATCATTCCATATGTGGGCATCGTGAAGTTTTGAAGAACGGTGGCTTCATCGACATTGATCGTCAAATCAAAAATTGCAAAAATCTTTTTTCATGCGAGAATTTGGGTCCATAAGCCAAAATTTGGACTTTTCAAGGCATCTTGGACGATTGATTTTGATGGGAATTCTTTCCCCGTTAAAATTAGGATTTTTTCGAATACTAAAAATTTTAGTCGAGGAGAGTGCATGAAGCTATTTCAAGAAGGTTGCACCAAAGCTGGGTATACTATTTGCGAGGTTGAAGACAATGGGAAGAGGGATGGAGGGGTATGTAGTGCAAACAAAGGGGATGGTGTATAGAAGTTGCATGCAATTAATGGTCATAATAGTAAAGAGAGGATTATTGGTGAAGAAGCGCTCAATGAGGCAATTAATAGTGTGAAATACGTTAAATACCGAGTTAATATTGTGGTTGAATGGTAATTTGAATTTTAAACATGTTTTGCAATTGGAAAAGGGCCAGACAAAACTTGCAAGGAATTGGGCCCTAAGAGGGTGGGCTTCTATAATCTCGACGAAGTTAAAGCAATTATGTCTAATGAAGTTGGGCTTGAGATGTTAAGTGTTTTTGATGGATTTTGAAGTTTGGGCACTGTCACGTTTAAAAATGTCCAGCCATATAAAGCAGAGACGACAAACCATCAGTAGAGGCCCAAGACCAAATTTTTTTGAGCCCCTGAAGGTTGCTCATAGGGCTATCCTATGCGATTGTTGTGAGACTGGGGTGTGAAGATGATGCCGATGATCAATAAGGGCCTCCTAGAGAAAATGGCGCCAAAGTCTAGTTGTAAGCGATTGGAGGAATAAATGTGCCAACTTTAGAGAGGACTTCGAAGCTGGAATACTAAGATGAATGAAAGAAGACAAGAAATAGGGCTTTGGAGATTAATGTTGTATGATCTTTAAAATTATGGAGGTGGAAGAAAATGAGGATGATAATTGTAATTTACGAAGATTCACTTCTTCGGTCAGATTGGGATGCAAATTTAGGCTGAACATAGATGAGATTCTGGGGTATGCTACATCATTCCTCGGTAATGAGGATAGCTCTTGGAATTGCTTTGAAGCATATCATAAGGAAAGTCAGGTTTGTGAACAAAAGTCCTTTCTTTTTTTTTTTGCCTTAAGGAGGCACATTGTCTTTCCTTTTCACTTTCACTTCACTTTCGGGAATTGCTCGTATAGGGGGGGGATGAGTTTTTTGGGTTGGGTATGTTTGGTGGTGGGGAGGGTAGTTGTTTTTAGGGTTTAAATCCTCATGTGAACTTGAGTGCAATGGGAAAGAGTTGGTTACTCGTGAGCAAATAGGCTCCATGGTTTTCTTGGATGTCCCAAATTTTGCTACATTAGATGTCTTATTTGTTGGTTGTAGTGATTTGAATTTGAGTATTGGTAATAGGTCTTCCACGTTAATCTTGTTCCTAGGAATTTAGTAGTTGTAACATGTCAAGTCCCCTTTTTTTTCTTTTAAAATAAATAATTTGATGATAATTCAATCTAATTATTCTATAAAATTGAAGTGAAGTTTAAAATCAGAGAAAACCTTTAAGAAAATAATCAGTTTACATTTACTTAAAATCATCACTTCCCAAAAATGTCAACGACTTTAAATAAAGAAAATATCGTAAGCAGTGAGCACAATGAGAGCATATACTAAAATCCACCACTAATTATAAACCAAACCAAAAACATAATTGAACCATCCATCAACCTAATTAAGTTTACAATTCCAAAAACCTCTAAGAAAAGTATAGTAGAAGCAAAACTAATACTAATTAAACATAATATAAAATTCGTCTTAGTGGCCCTAGATAAAAGCAATACTCTACAATTACTCAGCCACTTGAAGGAAACTCTCAGTTACTTATCTCTGGAAAACGATAAATAAGAATGAGCTACAAAGCCCAATAGTATAATGTTTCTCAAACCTTACCAAGGTTTTGAAAGTAATTCATTTTATAGCATTTAATAAGCGAACCGAAGAATTTTATATACATAATATAGAAATCAACATATGCACCAAAAATCATGAATATGCATGTCCTTTCTAAAACAGTATAAATGCACAAGTACATTAATTAGGAATCCGAAACCCTTGAAATGCAACATATATCAACACTGACAATCAAATAATCACTAGCCCACGTATGAAGATCTACTAGAGGCAATCTGGTAAAACTCTCCGTGGCCTTGGTCCGTAGAGAAGCCATAAAAACAACTCTTTCCCATACTAACTTTGAAAGAATATAATTATTAAATATTCTTGCATTTTTCTCCATCCAAATGCACCAAAGTAGTGCCATCAAAGCACAATTCCATGGTAGCTTTACTTCTTTTTTTTTTCCCCAAACTCCCAAAACTTAATGTGTAACAATTCTAATAATGGGTGATGTTTAGAGTTGGTGGATCTTCTTAGCTTAATAATGCTTCATTAACCCAAGATTGTTTAGAAGATGTTAGTCTATTGACTCTACCAGTGTTTTCTCACGTAAATCCTTCTTTGAGCCCAAGGATTAAAATTTTATTTCGAAGCGGTCGAAATGGCCAAAATATTTTCGTTTTCAAGGAGATCGAAATAATTTTGTGATAGAATTGAAATTCTAATACTTCAAGGTGTTTCGTAATATTTCGACGCACTTATACAATTGTTTCAGAATGTTTCAAGATTTTTCCGTATACTTTAACCAAAGTTTTGAAAAAATTATTCTGAGTATCTTGAAAGGTGCAAATTTGTGTATGAATAATGCTTAGGGTAAGAATAACACTTATGAGGTGCTTCTAGGAAGGAGACCCTTAGTTTGTCTTTAACTGCAATGGTATGTTATGTGCAAAGGAGATAGTGAAAGCATGGATAATTTATTTTTACTTTGCTTCATAGTGTTTTCACCATGAAAGACGTTTAATAATACGGGTCTTTGTTGGGTGGTACCAAGAGCTAATGCTGTGTATGATGTGCTTGGATTTTATGGGCAGGGGAAGCAATAGGATGTAGAGGACTCTTTAGGCTTGTGCTTTTTTTGCTATCGTTTGAGTTATGTATGTGATGCCCCAAAATTCGGGGTCCTTTCTCAACCCGTTGATCACCTATCAATCTGTGGAATACATGCGGATACCGTATAACTCGATGCCACGTATTTACACCATATTCATTAGGATCATAACAAAACAGAATTAAGGTAGAGTCTCATTTGCACAGGAGCACTATCGAATACATAATCTATGCATGTATTAATCATACGACCATTCCAAGGTTCAAATCCCAAAGTTTAAGACTTAAAATTTAACTATTTATATCATCAAAAGAAAAAAGCTCAAGATATGAAGGCTCGAAAACTTTGAAGTTCAAGAAAAATTTTTGGGGAAAAGGTACAAGTACTTCTAACAAGGATTGTCGGTATCTGAGCCATGTGGATGCCAGGTACCAATACGTAGGCCCACGACAATGTGGTATTGGTACCTGTGAGCATAAGTATCGGTACTTGAGTCCACTGTCATTAGGGTACCAGTATCTGTGAACTTAGGTACCGGTACCTAACCTTACTGGAGGCTATGTACCTATGAGGTACCGGTACCTAGGGCCTAGATTTCTCCAAATTTCTCAATTTTTAATTTTTAACCATACAAACTCATACAACATCATTTACATTCGCTTGTTTACAAAAGAATAATGTCTAAGAGTGTCCCATTACATGTTTTTGTCAAAGTACAAGTTTTGTACATAATTTATACAAGACTAAAATAAAAATATATAAGGGATTACAAAATGTAATTCACGAGCCATAACTCGGCTCGGTTGTCAACGTGGGCTCAAGTGAGAGCTGTCCGCCGGAGCTTATCCAACACTTGAAATGTATCCCCATAAAAGGTGAGCCACGCTTAATAGAGTATTTCTTAAAGAGGTCACTCCCCAGCACAAATGCATATGAAATGTCACATGGAAATCATCATGTCAAACATTCATTCAAATACATAAATTTCATAAATGAATGTCACAATTTCATGCCATGCCGTGATATGAGAACTCACGCATGCAATGCTACCCGAACGCCATCGGCTCCCATAACACATGCTATACTATGCCATGCATATGCATCTGAACATTCTAAGCTCTAGCCATTGATGTTAGACATCCGATAATTATTTTTTAAAATCTTGTGTCTTTCTTAGGTAGGTAATTTATAGACATCATATCAAGGGACTACCAAACCCACACGTATTCAAGGGCATCTCACCTCAGGTTTCGATTATACCTACACAATTTTTCAGAATTTCACCACAGAACAAGCGATTGAACTAAGTAGCCGAGCCTTGTAGAGGGAAAATCTATCCCTTCTTACTATACTCGACATGTATTTTTAATGCAACTCGTGTGACTCAATTGAATCTAGGTTTAACTTTCTTAAGCCCACATATCAACCCCCACCAAAGATGGTGTCGGATTAAAAATATGCACACACACCCACACTCATGTCGGATGTCCATGAATGTGATGTATGCATATGCAATAAAATTATGTAATTGCAATTCATACTATCATGCTCATCATATCAGAATACATATAATAAACATTTTCATTCTCCATAATCATCCCCAAGCATGTTACATGTGATATCAATCCAATTAATATACTTTTCCTAAGCATTTTATTAAACACTTAGTAGACAAAATTATGTAAACACATAGCATGCCCAAACAACACATTCTTTATGAAATCCAAATAAAGTTATTTCATCAAATCCAAATTATGCAAGAATTGGTTTTAACACATTCTCATACTCATTTTTCATATTCTAGCTACACTAGGTGTGTGTTGTATATGAGAATTCATTTCTAACTATTCTACCCATTTCATATCTTTATCCTAGATTGAAAATAAACCTAGATAGGAGGCAACCATCCCTTTTGTAGCGTATGTCCGTGTAGTAGAAGCCCCAAAGACCCAAAATCAAGCCTTCCAATCTTTATCCTGAAATCACTACCTTTGAGATCTTGGAAAAAATTACGATCTTTGGTATGGTTGCATAGCTCTCATTGCATAAAACTACTTTAACTCTTGACTTGAAGCGATCCAACGGTAGGATCTTGGCGGATCAAAGTAAAAAGGTGGGAGAACTTTGAGATATCTCTCTTCTTCTCTTTTCTGGAATTTTTTGGCTAAACAATGGGGAAGAAATCTAATTTTTACTCTTTAAATACCCTTGAATACTTGGCCCTCGTTGCACCACGTCTCTCTTTAATTAGTCTAATTTTATTATAAATTAATTAAATCTTGTTCCGTGTTAAGTTTAGTATATTTTTGTTGAACTAACTTTAAATTATTTTTCGATTTTCTCAAATAAAATTTGATCGCATTTATTTTAGTCGTGAGATGCCCGATAGCATCGTAAAATACAAAAAATTTGATTGTCTCGGAATTCGATGAAAATTGACTTGGCAGTTAAATTTTGCAATATGAATCTAACGGTGAGGTTCGTTTCATCATCCAAATTCTAGAAAAATTTGGGTTTTTAACCCTCACTGTAACGGCTAATTATCATTTTTTTCTTTTTAATTAAGTTTTAATTTTAATGGGTTTTACAATGTAGATGAAAAGGAACACAAGGATTTTTTAGGATAAATGTGAGGAGGTTGAAGGTCTTTGGGAGTGGCTTCATTTTTTGATCTCTTTTTGGGCCTCCATATCAAAGGTGTTTGAGAATATTCCTCTTTTTTAAACTACGTCGAGTTGGACAGCTTCATGTGGAATGTAGTTTTGTTTTATTTTATTTTCTTTTCTTATGTATTTTCGTTTTAAATTTGTCTTTGATTTAGAGTACTTGTCCACCATTGGCTTGCTTTTTGTAATTTTCTATCTTTTATAATCAATGATATTATCGTTTCCTATCAAAAAAAATATATAAGATATGAAGTTGGCAAGTGTCATGATGTAGGAAGATCATAAATAGTTCATCTTAATTAGAAATCAAATTTATTAGTTCGTTTATATTTATGTTCTTGGTACTAGTAAATACCATTCTAGGAGAATAAATGTAACTGCAAACACTATTTGGATTGGCATTAGCAACCTGCCGATAAGAGGCTTTTTGTTTTTTTACGAGAGGGAGATTACAATTGAGGAATTGTTGGGAATATGATAGCGTGGTAAAACAAAAACTTGCAGGGTTTGTGCTGGAGAAGATGACAATAAGTGTAGTTCAGAGCAATGCCTAACATATCCCCTAGATTGGGAGATATACGTCCACAATCAGAGGGAGGATGTTTATGAGTGAATGACTTATCCTTGATTCCATTGTCAATAGGTGTGGTAATGTGAACCAACACCAGCAGAAAGAAATTCTGTTTTGGCTTCCAGATAAATTAAGGCTTCTCAATTTCTTTTTGTGGATTTATCTCTATTTATTTTCTCATTCAGTCATATACATCAACTCGTAAATATTTGTGTCCACAATGGGACCAACTTATTCAAAGTGCACTAGCATGTTGATGTATTATGCATGGTGTTTTAGAAGCATTTTCCTTATACTACTTCAATTGCTTGGTGATCCTCGTTTACGTTGTATGGCTTTGGTTGCATAATGAAGCCTCTTTCTTTACTGTTTATTTTCTTTTTCTTGTAGGATGTCTCTGATGCCCAGTGGAGAAATTTCCGTGGGAACTTACCAATTCTTACCTTTGTGTTTGGAATATTTACATTGGTGGCCAACATGTTGAGAACGTACTATTGTTTAAGAGCAAAGGGGATGTCCATTGTTTGGCTTGTGATTTCTTTAGCTTATTTATCATATCTACATGGAGCTTGGTATGCTCCCTCCTCATGGAAACACTTGAATATCATATTCCTTCATGGTGTGGTGGTTTATAATCACATTTTCTTTTTTGAATGTAGTATATTATTTATCCTCTCAATTGCAGCAGCAAATTTTCTTCTAGTAAAGGTGCGTTTTGTGGTAGTTTTGGATATATTTTCTTTGTCATAAGTGTTCTACATACTATTTTTGCGTCGCAATGTTTTCTTCCTCTAGATTATTATTCATGAGCAAGAGGAAAATGTTTCATGTGCATGCATAAAGGATAATGATGAGCTTGCTGCTTCTTTTTTATGTGTTTAAATGTCGTATTCCATGGTGGCTGGAGCCTGGTGCAGTTGGCATCCTTGTTTTTAGATGAATTTCTTATGTGCAACCATGAGATAATACTGTCTGATATACATTTATTTGAAGAGTCATGACACTTCTAAGCATTGGTGTTTTAATTGGTACTGCCTTGTTTTGGAGTCGATACAAAATATTAGAATTTTAGTCTCTAAATAAAATAGTACCCTGTAAACATTTGTTGGCATCACATTTGGAAATGGTGGACAATCAGCTAGAACAACGAGTGCTGTATCAAAGTTGTTGTGTTTGATTGCCCTGATGCCGTGGATAGTTTCCGTTCAACATATGGTATAGTTTGTGTTGTCTACCTATAATAGTCTTATGTCAAAGACTCTAAGAGGGTGCTCTTTTCCTGTTTTTCGGCGAAGATAAAGGTTGTTGATCTTTTCACAGTTTCTTGAAGGAGTAGATTTTAGTTGCTGTTTTGTCACATCAATTCTTGTGTCAAAAGATGGTAGTAGATGAGGTAGCATGGCCTATGTGTGATTTCAGTCGAAAACTTCAGAATAACTGAAAATTCAATAAAATGTCATGGTTTTGACTTTTGAGAATGGGAATTGAATTCACAAAGGCCCACAATTCAGAATATATATATTTTTTTCTGTTTTTGAGAATGGATAGGACTTGGATAGGTGCACTCATTTACGCCTCAACTCAATTCAGCACAACAAAGTCTTGTCCCAACAATTTTGGAGTCGGCTACATGATTTCTGTTTTGCCACTTAACTCTATCAAGGACAATGTTTTCAGTTAAACCATAAGTTATTATATATTTCTTTACTATTTCTTTTAAAGTTAATTTTGGTCTTTCTCGACCCCTACATTTATCTTTAATAACCATCATATCATTCTTATTTGGCGGTGCTATAGTAGCCCGTCTATAAATATAGCGAAACTATTTGAGTCAATTCTCCCTTAATTTATATCCTATTTGTGCTATCTTTAATTTGTCCCAGATATATTTGTTCCTATTTCTATCTTTCATAATTTTACCATATATCCATCTTAACATTCTCATTTCTACCACACACAACTTTTGAACATGTTGTTTCTTAGTTGCTCAACATTCAATACCGTATAGTATAGCGGGCTTATAGTCGTTGTATATAATTTTTCTTTTAGCTTAAGGATTATACGTCTAGACACATTACACCGGATGCATTCTTCCATTTAGTCCATTCAGCATTAATTCGATGCCTTAAATTGTTGTCAATCTCACATTCTCTATGAATAATAGACCCTAAATATTTAAAATGTTCACTCTTTGATATCTCTTTATCTTTAATTTTCATTACTTCTTGATTGTGATTTCTTTTTTTATTAAAGTTATATTCCATATACTTAATTTTGTCTACTTATCCTAAATCCTTTTGATTCTAGAGTTTTTCGTCAAATTTCTAGTTTATTATTAATTTATGACAACACCACATGGATTGTTAGGGAGTCGCTCAAGAAATTTAGGCATATAGTCACTGTGCAAGATTACATGAAGATTTCAGTTCGGTGATATTAATAACATAATACTCACCATTGATGATGTTGATGAAGTATCTAAACTGAAAGTTCACATTGCTAAAGAATGAGACCTAAGATGTAGGGTGTTTATGCTATTTCTTAGGGATTGAAGTGGCTAGATCAGAAAAAAGACATTTTCATCTCATAGAGGAAGTATATCCTTGATGAAACCGACATGCTAGGTTGTAGACCTGCAGGCTCACCTATTGAGATAAACCACAAACTGAGAAGTGATGAATGTGATTAAGTTGATAGAATATATATCAGAGGCTTGTTGGGAGACTTATATGCCTTTCTCACACTCGTCTAGACATAACATATGTAGTGAGTGTTGATAGTCAATTCAAGCATGCTCTTCGAGTTTCTCATCAAGAGGTAGTTTATCGTTTACTGAGGTATCTCAAATTATCTCCAGGTAAAGGAATATTGTTTTCAATGCAGGATCATCTGAAACTAGAAGCCTTCACAGGTTCAATTGATAATAAGAGGTCCACTATAGGTTATTGTACCTTTGTAGGAGGAAATCTAGTTAGTTGGTAGAGCAAGAAACAAGCAATGGTGGGTAGATCTAGTGCAGAATACAGGGTTATGACTCATTGTATTTGTGAGCTTATGTGGATGAAAACCTTAATGAAAGACTCAAGTGTCTCTAATGATGAACCTATGCGTCTATATTGTGATAATAAAGCTGCCATAAATATTGCTCTCAACCCAGTTCAACATGATAGAACAAAGCACATTGAGATTGACAAGCACTTCATTAAAAAGAAGTTAAATGATGGGTTGATTTGTATGCCCTTTGTGACATCAAAACAATTGGCCAATATGTTTACTATGGGACTTTGTAGTAAAATTTTACATTTAGATATATGCAAGTTGGGCATGAAAAATATCTATACTCTAATTTGAGGGGGAGTGTAGAATATTGGGATGTTTTAATTAAGAGTATAATTGTAATTTGTAGCCTATTATGAGTTAATATAAATATGATTGCTCATTGATTTAATGAGAGATTAGTGAACTCCCTTTCTCCTAAACTCTAGTTTTCTCCTTTCTTGCCTCTTCTCTCTTTTAAATTCTAAAACTTAATAACTTGAGATTTCAATTGTACATACCTTTAGCTGGACTCCTTGTACTTGCTGAGAAGTAAAGCTGGGACATTGTCCGGTAAACTCATGTTTCTGCTTTGTGTTTGATTGTTGTCTGTTACATTTTCAATAAGTTGTCTGTATGAGCCTTTTGAGTGCGTTGGCAATAAACCAAGATGCTGATAAGTTTGGATTTTGGCAAATTTTGTCTTGCATTAGGTATCTCCAATCAGCAGAAACAAAAGCAGCTAGAGTAGATCCCTTCCTGTTAACATGAGATGGAGATTCATGCCCTTTGAGAGCAAACTTGGAGCATGTAAACTCCAATTGTAATAGTCATGGAAGGTCATTTGGTTGGTAGATCCACATTGGAGGTTTTGACGGTTTTTTGTTAAATTCAAGAATTGAAGTGCTCATGAATGTCCATAGGCTAATAATAGGGCTGCATATGAACTGGGCTGAATAGCAATAATGCAACTACTTCTTTGGCTGTCTAAAAAGTTCAGATATCTGTAGGGTAACACAAGCAGTAGCGCCTCCTACTGCTAAATGCGAGAGGCCTTGGATTTTCGAAGTTTTCCAGTTGTTGTCCCTATTTTGGATCTTGTTTCCTTTTTCCTGCTAAAAATGTCCCTCTTTTTGTTGCTGCACTCTGTTTCTGTTAGTTTTGATTTTGTTTTCTTTTGGCCTTGGATTCCGTAAAAGAGGGGAAAATAAAATTGAATATTTTACTCCATAGAAAAGCTTGTCACCATATCATAAAAGTTGAACACTTGGAATTTACCTTGAGTTATGAGTTTTTTTTTAAACAAAAATTATGACTGCAATAGAGCTTTGTAGCGTATTAGGTGAATGTTTTGCTTAAAATATATACTACTTCATGTGGGAGGCTGATGGAGAGTAATTATTTACCCACATGGAGTCATTAGGTTTAAGTAGTGGTTCATTTTTTGGTAAATGGGTTTTGGATCAGGATTGTTATTAATTCAATTCTCGTGGTGAAATTTTATTCCATTTTAGGATGAATAAATACTGCAGGACTAGTTGTATTAATGAAGATTGATAGTGATGTAGGACAACTTTGTAAAATAAAAATAGGGACTGTTTAGGGGCTGTGAACAGTAATGGGGTGAACAGTAGTGTAAACAGTAATTTTGGCTAGGAATCACTCCTAGGGTTCCATAGGCATCACACCTAATGTTAGAATTGCATCACACAACTCAAGAAACATGTAATTGTTGAAAATTCTGAATATCTCTCTTCTTCTATTATAAAAAGTAACACTAACTATATATAGAGTTGTAAGTAATCCTAATCCCAAAAGATTAGGATTCCAAAGTCTCTAGCACTACAAAAACACTAGGTTCTTACAAATTAGAAAACTAAAATTAACTAGAACTAGGACTTTAAATTCTAAAATATTCAATACTAGAATTTAACCCAAAAATATGATCTATTCCAGAAATTCTGAAAATTATAAAAATACCCCTGACACTAAAAATATTAAAAGGACATATAAAATATTAATACTAGCAAATTAACTTAAAATAAGAATGCAAGGTTCTATATGGATCTTTGTCTTGATGAAAAGTCAATTCCATTATCTTTCACATCTTCGAATTTGTGTTTCCTTGAGCATCTTATGGATTGCATCATTCCCCCCTAGTTGGAGAAAACTCGACCTCGAGTTTTAAAGTGTTACAGTATGAAAGTCCAAAAATGTTGAACTTGTATATGTAGCTGTCTCTGAGAAGCGTTAAGATGATGCCTCCTTTTCTTTTCTAATTGAAGGAACAAAGAAAAAATTTGAAAATTGATCCCCTTGATTGTGTCGTTGAAATTTTCTGGAATGATAAATTAATTGGTCGAGCAAAGTGAATAGAAAGAAATATTGGTGACTCTTCATGTAGATCCTTGAAAGATGCAAACAAATCAAGCTCTTAGAACATCATTGTTGTTGATTGAAAGTCATTAATGGGAATAATTTCACGGGGCAACACTTTTAGCACTATGTCAGAGCTCTTAGGTAGTAACATACTCATCTCTAAAGGCTCATTTGATTCAATACTAGTTGCTGGATTTTCCATCTTGTCAAGCTCCACAACAAAACATTGGTCTGGATATTCACTTTTTACCTTAGCTTTTGGACAAGTAAGTAGCATAGTTGCTTGGGATTGTGTTGATTCTTCTACTTGATTTCCTTCATCTTGAATTATTCGATTAGTTGTTGCCTTGGGCTGCTTCTGACGAATTTTCTCTAGTTGCACATTAGAATCTAAATAACATTGAATTTTACCTTTTGTGAAGAAGAAATCTGGGATGTACTTATTGATGAAGGAAATTTAGGTACATCTCCGTACCAAGTGCCACTTGGAATGCATGCTCTACGTTGTATAGTGGCTGCCCAAGTATTTCTGCTGTTATATTTACTCTTAAACTAGCCTTGAATCGAGCAATTGTTTGACAAGGTTCTTCTACGATATGGTTTTTTAACATTAAGTCTTCAAATCTTTGAATATACTCTGTAACATATAGGTTACCTTGTTGCAGATTAATAAGTTGTTTGCATAACTTGCTACTATAGTTTGAGGGCATATACCTCTGTTGAAGCTTAGCTTTCATTTTTTGCCAAGTGTTTATAGGAGGTTGTCCCAATCTTCTTATATCTCCTACAACACCAAACCACTAAATTTTTACCAAGCCTACAAGTTTCATCTTGGCAAGCCTTACTCTCCTCACCTAATAAAATAGTTCTCCATAAAAACAAGCTAACTAGAGAATATTGTAGAATCAGCCCTTCCATCACAATCTTGGATCTCCATCATCATATATCAATATTTAAGCCGCATAACATAGGATTTTTCGGCTCTGATACCAAACTGATGTAGGATAACTTTGTAAAATAAAAATAGGGACTGTTTAGGGGCTGTGAGCAGTACTCGTAAATAGTAATGGAACAGTAGTGTAAACAGTAATTTTGGCTAGGAATCACTCCTAGGGTTCCGTAGTCATCACACCTGAGGTTAGAATTGCATCACACAACTCAAGAAACATGTGAAAATTCTGAATATTTTTCTTCTTCTATTATAAAAAGTAACACTAACTATATATAGAGTTCTAAGTAATCCTAA